GAGGCTCGGTGACCTGTGCCAAATGAGCAGGCACTCGGTCACACTCCAGGGCCTGGCAGAGGCCATGCTGCTCTGGGAAAGCCCAGCAGCTCCTGGCCTGGGGGCGGGCTGGGCAGGGGCCTCGCTGGGGATGGAGGCCCAGGAGCTTCTGAGACTGGCGGCAGCCGGGCTGGGAACTGCCCTCCACAAACAAGGAAAGCGGGGGAGGGGGAGCGGGGGGATAGGTTCACGCGCGCTGGGGCTGGGGCTGGTGTGCCCGGGGGGGGGGGGGGGGGGGGGGGGGGGACGGGAAAAAGGAAAAAAGGGCTTCCCTGCTTCCTTGGGGCTAGCATTGCTGAACCTGCGCTGAACCTGCTTGGGCACATCCCTTCCTCTGCTTTCTGTCCCTTGTGCGGATCTATTCATTCCTACAGGGTGTGCATGTCTGGGTGTCTTTGTGATGTGCGGGGGGTGGGCCTCTTTGTATCTGTGTGCTTCTGGGTGGAAGATTGTATGTGGCTGCTCTGTGTGCAAAAACGAGGGTGTGCCTATGTGTGTGAACAGCAAGCCAGCTAAGCGTCTCCACGTTCTCAACCCCAAGGTCCTAGAGGTCTCATGTATATCCATGTCAGTGAAGGAATGCCTATTTGAGCCTGTTTCAACTAACTTGTGAGTTCTGTGCATGTTCCCATTCAGATACATGCCCGTCTCATTGCGTATTGGTTGGCATGACTATGGCCATCTAGCCTAATGGCATGAATCCACATGTCCTTATTCTGAATGTGTGCTAGGTTGCATGTGGATATCTGTGTGATATGTGCATGAATGCACATGTGTTCGCATGCCTGAACCATTCTATGTCAGCAAGGGGCAGGTGGGTTCCAACTTCCATGTGTACCCCGGTGACTGTGCGTTGTGAGTCTTAGGACAAGTTCTGCCTAGTCTGTGAGAATGGTGGTCCTGGGGAGAGGGGCTACCAATGGCCGTGTCACAGCCCCAGTATCCCACACAGAATCTGTGGGAGCAAAAGTAAGGAGGATGTCCAAATTTCTTGGAGGAAACAGCACTCAAACACAAGGAAGATTTGACTCAGGACCAAGCCCGTATCATCGTATAGGGTCTAAAGAGTCCAAAGCGGAGAAAGGAATTTTACCCTTTCCTAGTTCACACTGTTGCTTACCTCAGAGAAAGTCTCTCTAACATGCTTTATTTCATTCCTGAGAGTCCCTGGGTGATACAAACGGTTAACGCACTCAGCTGCTTGGTTGACAGTTTGAGTCCACCCAGAGGCACCTTGGAAGAAAGACCTGTTGATCTACTTCCAAAAAATCAGCCATTGAAAATCCTATGAAGCTCTGTTCTACTCTGACACACATGGGGTTGCCATTAGTTGGAATCGACTCAATGGCAAGTGGTTTATTTTATCCTTGTGACCTCACAGCAATCCTGAGATTATTGTCCCCACTTTATGATGAAGAAACTGAAGCTCTGACAGGGAAAGCAACTTGCACAAAGTCACATGGCTGCTAATGAGGGTAGTGGGATTGGGGCTGAGGTTTGCTGGGCTCACAAACCCATGCTGGTAAGCTGGGAGCCTGGCTGCTGCTTTGCTGCAGATGACCCTCAATTCAGCACAGACCTGGGAACACAGCCTCGGGAGCTCCAGCTGACCCTGGCCTGCCCCAGGAGAGCTACCAGAGACAGGCCCATCGGCTCTCTCTGCTGTGATGGCCAAACCAGTCACCTCCACAGGCACCCTCCCCCACCCTACAGCAGCAAGGAGAGCAATGAGGAGCGGCACCATCAATGGTTCTGCACCCTCACACAGGTTTCAGTTCCCTCATCAATGCCCTGGGGTAATCACTGCAGTGTTCTCACTGGGCTGAGAGGCGCAGATGAAGTGATGAATGTAAAAGCACTTTGTAAAGCACCATGCTCATTGGTGATTGTTCTTCAAGTCTCGGTGACAATTCCAAAAGCAGGACATCACAACACCTGTCTAATATCCAGATATTTCTCTTCCTCCAACAGGAACTGGGACATATTCATAGAGTCACAGACCATCAGAGCTGGAAGGACCTTAGAGGTCCACTGGTCTAAACTTCTGCAACCTGACTCTAGGGATGAGGAAACTGAGATTTAGAGGGGAGAAACTTGCCCATTCATGGGGCAATAGTAATAGAAAAACTCAGAGTAATAAGCCGTTTCAGAGAGCTTTTCACCCTCATAGTCTCATACCACCCTCTGACTTACGTTAGTGCTATTCCCAATTGACAGGTAGGAAAATCAAGGGCTAGAGAGACTGGACTCTTGTCCAGGAAGATAGTGACAGCTCCAGGTTGGCAGCCCAAGACTCAATGTCATGCAGGTCTAGCTAGGGCTGGCATGAAAGGAGCTTTCACTATGGGAATCCCAGCTTTTGTCCTACCTCCAGGGCTTCAGAGAAGAACCAGGGAGGCGAGTGAACCAGGAGGTCCTGTGCTGCCTCAAGGTGACCACTTCCTGGGCCAGAGTCCAGTGAAGCCCAGCATCCCTACATGAATTCAGACACAGGGCTCCATCACAGCCCCTGCAGCTAGGGTGGTGCCTGAAGGATCTGCTCAGGACAGTGGCCAATGGTCAGCCAAGGACCCTGCCCTGTCCCATCCCATCCCTTGGGCACTAGCCAGAGGCTGGTCCTAGGGCTGCATTCAGGGCCCAGATGAGCACAGTCTGTGCCCAGGATGATGCTTGTCACTGTCAACTCTGCCCCAGCCACCCTGAGATCATCTGAGCCCCCAATCACCTTTCTTCACATACCTCCCAGCTTTACTGCACAGTCCTGATTTATCCAGTGGGACTCTAGCTGGGCCTCCCGCTCAGTCCTAGCATCTGGGATGCCACTGAAGGTTAGATCGAGGAGGGAAGTGGGGTCGAGCCAGCAGCTGGAAGTCTCCCTGGAACCCCAATTCTGGGGAACAGGTGAGGCTACAGCTCACTCACACTCAGCCTGGGGCCAATGTGGAGTTAAGAGCCACAGACTGAGCTGCAGCTGAAGTCCAAGTTCACTCAGGATCCTTTGGGGGAATCTTCAAAGAATTGGAGGGATGAAGAGGTACCCAAATTCCACACCCTGCCTCTCCAAGAAGGGATCCTCACTCAACTCCCTTTTCAGCAGCCCCAGGCAAGTCCCGCTAAACTCCAGCCCAGGGCCCCAAGAGGCTGGACAGCTCCCTGCCTGCAAGCTGAAGTGCTAGGCGCCGTTCCTCGAGTCCATCCCATCCCACTCCTCACCTAGAGTAAGTTTCCCCGGGCGTAATCGCCTTGGACCCGGCCAATGAGCCCTCCGGGCTTAGAGAAGGGACGAGAAGGCTTCGGTGGCACGGGAGGGGTACCCCTCGGCCCAGTGTCCACCACCCCGACCCGAGGCATTTTCCCCGGAGCCACAGCCTCCACCTCGAGGTCCTCTCATTACGGAACCCCGGAACGCAGCCCGGACACAGGAGCTCCAATCTTCCCGTAGCACCGCTGCTTCCCGCCGCCGCGGTTCCCAGCCGCCCGCGCGGTACTCACCTGGGCTGAGGTACCCAGGACAAGGGGTGCACGCGCGAGGAGTGAAGCTGGGGCCGGTCCGTCTCTGCCCAGGCCTATGCGATCTCAGGGCCGCGGAGGTCTGGCGGAGTTGTGACGTTGCGTCTAGAGGGAGAAGAGGGAAAACCGAGACGCGTCCAGGGAGGCGCGGAGAAGGTGCACGCTGGAAGCTGCGGGAGGCGAGGCGGGTGAGGTGAGCAGCCGTGCCGGAACCGAGCCGGGGACCCGCACCGCCTCCCGCTCGCAGCCGCGTAGGCCCGTGGGAATCCCGACCCGCCGACAGCGGCACTGCGAAGGGAGGAAAGCCGGGATGAGCCGCTTGTCGGAACCCGAGCGCCTCCCGGAGCCCGCAATCCCAGCCGCTGCCTCTGGACGCCCCGGCGGGATCCGGGAAGGAATTCAGCACGCGCAGAGTGTGGGACTGGCCGGGCTCGGGATCTCCAGCGCCGAGGGAAAGCCAGGCCCACGCAGCCAGGACGAGAGGGGGTGCGGTCCCAGTGCCACCCCCGCGCCACTCCCCACGTGGCGGCCGCGCCCCCGGGGCGTGAGTATGTACGCTGACTGTAGGGGCAGTGAATGAAGCCCCAGCGGCCAATCAGCACGGCCGGCGCGCGGGACCCCGGGAGCGAGACCCAATGGCAAGCTCTGGGCGGCCGGG